GGGGGTCCTAAGCCAGACACAGTGCACAGACCTCGGGGGGTCCTGAGCCAGGCCCAGTGCACAGACCTCGGGCAGTCCCAAGCCTGTCACAGTTCTGAGGAAGGGTCACTGGACCCAAAACGTTAACTCTGTTTTCTCCTTCACAGATGCTGCCAGACCTGCTGAGCTTTTCCAGCAACTTTGTTTTTGTCTAGTGCACAGACCTCAGGCATTCCCAGTGCAGAGGAAAATGGGCGCAGTGCAGACCTCAAGTGTACCCCTACTTAATTTTCTGGAGCAAACACAGGACCTGAAATTGGCAGCTGCCATTTCAGCAGAAGCAACGTAGGCCCGGCAACAAAAGACGGCACCTGAGGATCGGAGACTTTGTTGTTGGTTTGGGCCAGCGCTGGTGGCAGCGATGCGGTGGTGGAAGGGCGTCACGGCAACATGGATGAGGTGGGCCCAGTGGTGAGAGACATTTGTTGGTCCAGAGCAGGCAGCGGCGAGGCTATGGCGGAGGAGAATCAGCCCAGTAGTAAACATGGTATCTGAGGATTGGCAACTTCGATGTTGTTGGGTCCAGTGTAGATGGTGGTGAAGCAGTGGCAGAGGGAACGCAATGTTGAAGCCACTGATGGTGATAAGCTGGCTCAGGACAGATGAACTCTTTTCAAGCTGTATCTTTCTTTTTTTTCCTTATTCTTAAATTATTCAAAATGGTGCCATATCATGGTGACAAACAAAAGCTTTTAACTGTATTTGATTGTATTCTTACTCCAAAATACACGTTACATAAAATCAAAAATATCAAAATCTATCTTTCTCCTTGGTGAATGCCAATGTGAAATACTTGTTAAGGATTTCACACACTTTCTCTGGGTCCACACATAAATTCCTTCCTTTGTCCTTGCCAAAGACATTTCATGGCCGCTTCTAGCTCTCCTAGTTCCTTGTTTATTTTCTGCTTTCTTTGTACTCCTTGGTTGATTTCAATTTCCTAAACCTTACATGTATTTCTTACTTTTTTACTGAATTTTCAATGTTTCTTGTCAACCAAGGCCCCCAAATCTTGCCATCCTTCTTTCATCCTCAAATACTGGTCCTAAACTCTGATTATTTAACCTTTAAAAGACTCTCACATGTCCAATGTGGATTTACCCTCAAATAGCTGCCCCAATCTAATTTCTTCGGTTCCTGTTTAATACTGTTATAATTAGCCTTCCCCCAATTTAGCATTTTCACTGAAGGACCAGTCTTATCCTTATTCATGACTATTTTAAGACTGACAGAATTATGATCACTGTTCCCAAAATGCTTCCCCACTGAAACTTCCATCACCTGGTCGAGCTCATTTCCCAATATGAGATCTAATGCGGCCCCTTCCCTAGCTGGATTCTCTACATGTTTTTTTCAAGGAACCCCCCCCGGATGCACTTAACAAATTCTGTCCATCCAAGTCCCTGCCACTAAGGGAGTTCCAGTAAAAACTGGGGAAGTTAAAATAACCCACCACAACAACCCCGTTCTTTTTAACACCTTTCCATGATCTGCTTACATATCTGTTCCACTATCCTTCGCTGGCTATTAAGAGGCCTATTGTGTAATCCCATCATAGAGATTTCAACTTTCTTATTCCTAGGTTCTACCCATATGGCCTCATTGGATGCACCTTCCAAGATGTCCTCTCCTAGTGCAGCTGTGACATTCTCCTTAATCAGTAAAGCAACCCCTCAACCCTTTTACATCCTTCTGTATCACAGCTGAGATGTCTAAACCCTGGAATATTGAGCTGCCAATCCTGCCTATCTCTCAATCAAGTTTCTGCAATAGCTACAAAGTTATAGCCCCTTAGACTTACCTGACTTAATCTCTACTTTCTCTTCAAATACTCCACATGGTGACCTACTGCTTTGGTTCCCACCCCCTGCCACACTCGCAGAAACCTTCCCAAGTGGCACCACCAGACCTCCCTGCAAGAATATTAGTGTCCCTTCAGTTTAGGTGCAACCTGTTTTTTGTACAGCTCCACCCGCTCTGGAAGAGATCCCAATGACCCAGACATCGGAAATCCTCCCTCTTCCACCAGTTCTTTAGCCACGCACTCAACTGTATTCTCTTCCTATTTGTGACCTCACTAGCACACGACACAGGAAATAATCCTGAGATTACAACCCCAGAGGTTCTGCATTTCAACTTGCTCTCTAAAACCCAAAAGTCCCTTTGCAGGAATTCATCTCTCTTGCTGCATATGTCTTTATTGAGTTTATGTGGAAAAATGTGAAGTAATGCATTTCGGAAGGTTGCCACACTACCAGAAGGATGCGGTGGCTTTGGAGAGGGCACAGAAGAGATTTACCAGGATGTTGCCTGGTATGGAGGGCATTAGCTATGAGGAGAGTTTGGAGAAACTTGGGTTGTTCTCAATGGAACAACGGAGGTTGAGGGGCGACCTGATAGAGGTCTACAAGATTATGAAGGGCATGGACAGACTGGACAGTCAGAAGCTTTTTTCCAGGGTGGAAGAGTCAATTACCAGGGGCCATGGGTTTAAAGTGCGAGGGGCAAGGTTTAAAGGTGATGTACAATGCAAGTTTTTTTTTACAGAGTGTGGTGCGTGCCTGGAACTTGCTGCCGGGGGAGGTAGTGGAAGCAGATACTATAGTGACTTTTAAAGGGCGTCTTGACAAGTACATAATAGGATGGGAATAGAGGGATACAGACTCCGGAAGAGTAGGGGGTTTTAGTTGTGATGGGCAGCATGTCAGTGCAGGCTTGGAGGGCCGAAGGGCCTGTTCCCGTACTGTAATTTTCTTTATTCTTTGTTCTTAATTCCAATATGGACCATGACTTTGAGCTTCATCCCACCTCCCCCCGCTAACTTGCAGAATATCATTTGCTCACTCAAAGACATCCTTGACCCTGGCACTATCCTGGACTCTCACTCACGGCCACAGAAACACCTGTCTGTGCCCCTGACTATAGAGTCTTCTATCACTACTGTTCTCCAATATTTCGACTCTCCCTGCTGCACAGCAGATATTAAATCACTGCAAGCCACCATGGAACTGAGTCAAGTTTGAAAAATCTAAGAGAAGTACTCTTCTGGCCACACATGAGCAATAAAATCAAGAACCACATGAATCAGTGCATTGCTTGCAATGAATATCAAGTCATGCAGGTTCGGAAGCTAGATCTGACACTGTGACTTCACAGACAGAGCATGGATGAAGCTGTGAATAGACCTCTTCACTCTCACAGCAGCTGATTATCTTGCCACTGTCGAGTACTATTCTGACTATATGAGAGGTAAACCAGCTGCCTAAATGACTCTGCGGAGATTGTAGAATGCCTGAATGCACACTTCAACTGTTGTAATATTCCTGACACTGTGATGAGTGACAATGTATTTCAGTTCACAAGGAAAGGATTCAACCACTTGATAAAGTGCAGGGAAATTCAAATAGAAAAGCATCGAAATCACAAAAAAACTGAGCAAACCCAGGAGAGCTGTATAGAAGGCAATCTTCGAGTGATAAAACACACCTACTGAAGATGTAGAGAATCATCAAGTACAAAGAATAATGTCATGCTGCACCCAAACTGCTGTTCAAATAGCAACGACATTACTGAAGTCAGAAGTATTTACAGGCATGGGTGACAAAATCAAGGTGAAACATTTCAGCAAGACTGTCAAATCATTGCCAGAATTGAGCATTGGAAGGTACAAATCTTCAACAAGAGTTGCTCTCAACAAGAGTCAGCCCAATGCTGTGAATGACCAGATACATTATTGCAACTGCAGGGACATATGCAAAGCTGGAGAACCTGTTCCTCAACTCCAAATGCCTGATTGATACCTGAAGATGTGAACTCATTACCTGCACAGACCACAAATAAACCACCAGGTCCCAGAGTTTCCCAGCAGCCCAACAATGGAATTGGAACACCAATAAATTACCGGGAGACAAGTGACACAAGATTGATACTCCCTGGAGAAGGAACATCACCCAGATGAACAAGGCAGAGCTATACCATTAAGGAGCCAGTATGATTTTGAGACTGTATGGCACAATATGTGCAGAGACTGATGGGAATAATGAACTGCTGATGCTTAAGAACAGCTGTGCTCATGGATGGTAACTGAGGGGACTCACAGTGTAGATGATAATGTATAGAATTTTTTTGTGTTTTTTTGTATGAGAACGGCGTCAGGATGGAAATGCAATCCCGTCCTAATGTGTCTCTTGGTTTGGCATTGTCATGGGCTGTCCACCATAAGGCACTCCCTGCAGGCAGCCACCCAGTTCAATTAAATACTAGCACAAACCAGACTGTTTTCCTGTCAGCTCGCAACTAAAACATGAACCTTGCCAGTGACACTCAAGTCTCTTGAACAAATAAAAATCTAATATTCTCGAAAATAGCTGTTGTACGGAAATTACAAAACATTTTCTTGAAATGTATAATTTCCTGGGCTTTGGTACTTCTCTGGTTCAAATGTTCACAGCTCACTGCACAAGAAAGTCGTATCTTAACTGAACATTCAACTTTTCACTTCTAAGTTTACTCTACTGTCCAGAAATCCAGAAGCCAATTTCACTCCATGAAGCATTACAGATCTAACATTGTTCATAGAGACTTCAAGTTCTGAGCTGTGATGAAGAGCTGCTTAAATTAATCTTTTATACTCCTCAAGTTTAAGCTGCACTGGGAGATTGTGAAATGTTGCTTATGACCTGTTGGCTGCACCTTTTGTCTGTACTTAAACACTTGCTTCATGGGCCCTAAAAATTACAAGCTGCAACACGTAAACCACTTCACAAACACTAAGCATGGAATTGCCAAAAGATCAAATACCTGATGCACTGGGCTCGACGACAGACATTGTTGGAACAACAACGTTTTTTCCTCACACAAGTCCTTGCAGGCAGAGCCAGAAATGATCCCTTTCTTATAACGATCACACTGGGGGGATAAAATTAAACTCTGCAAATTACAGTATGTTAAATAACTGTTCCCCAGATCAACAAAAGGAAGATTCCAGATTCGTAACATGTCCAGATCCTTCATACTTACAATTATCATCTGACAGATGTGACCTCGGCACAATTCTGAGTAGGACGAGTAGTGCACATACAGTCCCCAGCTGCCCAGCAGGATTCCCAACCACAGCAAGAATAGGTACTTCACTTTAACACCAGGGAGACGCTTCTATCAAAAACACACAAAAGTTTTAGTTGTAAATACCAAACATAAAAACTGTACATCTTTCCATCAGCAATTAAAGTAATGATGGCAAGTGACATTCATTCCATCTTGGCCCAAGGCAATTTCTCCTGTAAACTTCCCCTTTCCACCTCATGAATGACATAGCTGAGCTGTTGGAGTCTTTCTCAGAGAATCGTACAGTAAGTAAGGCACAGCTGGTCCCACTGTGGAGATTTTGCAGCTTCAGAAACTCTGGCACCACTTTTCAAGGTCAGTTGAAGACCAATGCAGATTGCTCACTGTCTCAGACTGCAGGACTTAACCCTGAAACTGTATCAGAAGCTTCTGGAATTAGTAGTACATTGGGAGTGGACAGGGAGGAGTTGTTTCTCCTGCTGATTGTCACAGGAGGCCATTTCAACAGAGCCAGCTGGTCTGAATTCACATTGCAGCATGGGTCAGTGCCGTATCCTGAATGGAACATTCAGTAGTGCAGAAAGAAGTTCAGTGATTTTCTGTGCTCCACAAAGATAAGTGCCACCATTTTCTCTCTGCTAACTGTCACTCGCAGGGTGAGTACTCATTCTTACTCTGCCACTGCACACACATTGCTCCAAGGCTCATGGAGTACAGTTCTCAGTATTGCGTGCATCATGTTGACTCATCAGCCCTCACCCACCTCTAATCTTTCCAGCCTTTTATGCTTCCAACTCACTGCCTCTCTTCATGCATCACTGTGGTCTTGCAGCTAAAATCAAATATAGACAGTGCTGGAGAAATTCAGCAGGTCTGGCAGATTCTGTGGAGAAAGAAACAGAGTGAACATTCTGAGTCCATTATGACGCTTCTTCAGAATTCAGTCATACTGGATTTGAAAGTTAAATCTGTTTCTCTCTCCATAGATGCTACCAGACATTCTGAGTTTTTCTCCAACACTGTTTTTATTTTGGTATTCACAGTATTTTGCTTTTATTATGCTCTTGCAACTACTTGCTTCATTATCAATCCCTTTGTCTGTCTTATTGCAGGAAAATCTGCCCCCCACCACCTGGACTGACTCCACAATAGCCCAACTGACCTACCTGTAATTCCCAGCCTGTTTGGGCTTGACCTGCAGGACTGACCATCACCCAATCCCAGCACTTGCAAATCTCCAGATTCACTTAGGACCAAGTGCTTTTCTGAGTGTGTGTAATGAGATGAGCCCTTTGACTGATGTGGTGATACCCCATGACTAACTATAGTCTCCCTTCACCCTATTGAGGTCTCTTTCCCTTTGACTTTCACATAACACCATTTGTCAAAGCACATTCAGTCTGTTTGCTGCACAAACAGCTGGCCAACGCTGCAGCTTTTACATTGATGTAGCACGATGCTACATATCAACTGCTTCACCCCCATCTGACTGATAGATGACTGTTTAGTTCTCCCCACTATCACAAACTGCCAGCTCACTCTCTACGTTAAATGAAAGTTAAACAGCAGCCTGAAATTGAGTACCAAAGCCCTTCCACATTAAGAAAGGAATGTGAATGAAGCAGAAACTAGCAGCCTACAAATAAGCAGTCAAGTGAGTGAACGTAAGTCATCAATTCATGAGACATGACCTGCATGAGTGCCAAAGTCTGTTGTATAGATGCATGAAATGCATTTGTGCGCTCAGTGGTTAGCACTGCTGCCTCACAGCACCAGGGACCCGGGTTCAATTCCACCCTCAGGCGACTGTCTGTGTGGAGTTTGCACATTCTCCCTGTGTCTGCGTGGGTTTCCTCCGGGTGCTCCGGTTTCCTCCCACAGTCCAAAAGATGTGGAGATTAGGTGGATTGGCCATGCTAAATTGCCAATAGTGTTCAGGGATGATTAGGTTAGGTGGGTTAGACATGGGAAATGCAGGGTAGGGGAATGGGTCTGGGTGGGATCTTCAGAGTAGCGATGTGGACTCGTTGGGCTGAGTGGCCTGTTTCCACACTGTAGGGATCCTATGACTCTAGAAACATACAAATTGTACATAACCTTGAACTCCAAAGTGTTGAAGGTCTGAAGTGGTCTCTGAGCTGATCCAAGGGCAAACAGGACGATGTGGTGAGGCAGGTAGTTTGTTGACACTGACCTGTTGATGAAGGATCGATGAGGGTGGTAGTCATGGAGCATGCTGCAATGTTGTTCTGAAGAAGCAGTTGCATGATGGCCAGGACATGCATTCAGCAAGTTGCAGCTGCCAAGTACCCACTTTGTTTCACCTGCCGGGGATTTCCATCGTCTAATTTCTTGGCAGAAGAAAGAAAAATTGGATTTGCAATGCGAGTAAGCTGAGTTGGGGCTTTAATGAGATGAAATGTATGGAAATAAGGTAGTCACCACTCAAGGTAAGATTCTGAAGTTGGAGTTCAAGGCTTGAGGGAAAAATTGAAAAAAACCTTTCTCTACATCAAGAATCTGTTACTTTCAACATCACCTAATTTTGTCACAATCCTCACCATTACTCTAGTTAATACTGTACCATACTCTCGCCAATATCTCTCGTGACTTTCACCAATAGTCTAGACAATGCTGTCACCAATACTACCACTATTATTCTTGCCATTACTCCTACCAATTATCTCACCAGTACTCTCATTAATTCACCTGTATGAGGTTCACCATTATTCGAGCCAATATTGTCACTAACATTGTTGCTATTACTCTTGCCAATTCACTTACCAATACTCTCACCAATAGTGTCACCAATGCTTTCACCAATAATCTAGCCATGACTCTCAACAATACTCTCACCTTTACTCTTGCCATCACCCTCATCATTAGTCTCACCAATACTTTCACCAATGCTCTCACAAATACTCTCACTGATAACTTCAACAATACTCTCCCCCTGACTCTCATCATTAATCTTGCCAAATCTCTCGCCATTACTCTCCCCAATATTATCACTGATAATTTTGGCAATACTGTCATCGTTACTTTTGCCAATACCCTCACCAAGAGTTTCATCCCACTACCCTTGCCAAAACTCTCACTATTAGTATTGCTAATACACTCGCCATTACTCTCACCTTGAGTCTCACCAAGACTATTGCCGATACTCTTGCTAATACTCTCATGATTACTCTTGCCATTACACTCGCCAACACTTTTGCAAATATTCTCATCAATAATCTCACCAATACTCTTGCCAATATTCTCACCAGTACTGTGTCAATACTCTCAACAATACTGTCATCAATACTGTTGCCATTACACTCACCAATGCTCTAGACATTACTCCATCAATACTCTCACCATTATTCTTGTTATTTCCCTAGTCACACCAAAGAGGAGATAATGTCAGTGTTTCCACTGCCGAGGGCTACATTAGTCTTGGAGCAGTGAGTTGAACAAGTGGAGCCACCAACCACAGAGGCAAGGAACAATATCAATGTTGCCGACTTCAAGATGGTAATGGGCAAAGAAAGGAGAAACGATTGCTGCAGGGTTCAGAGGAGAACTGGGGAAGAGGTCTGTCACCCAGTGAATAGAATTTACAGACCTCCAGTGGGCACTGTGGCTGGGTTTAGAATTTCTGACCAAAACCTTGATTGTATTGGAAGGTGTTACAGATCATTTAAAAATAACAGATTCAGAGAAATGCAAACCCCTGTCATGGCCAAGGAGATGGAGCAGAAAGAACTGTAAAATGGAGGACGGCAGACAGTTAAAAGGCAGAAAAAATTCTCTGGCAACAAGAGGAGGTAAAATGAGTGAAATCAAATAAGTTGGATTACACTCGTGACATTTTGCCTGATGTTGAACTGGAGCCTGGCTCATTCATTCTTTTCTGAACATTGTCATGACCCATTTGGGAAAACGCATTGATCTCCAGTACTACTGGTGTTACCTCAAAAGTCAGTGATTTAATCAGTGTATGAAAAATCCCCTGTCTGATAGAATCAAGTTAACAGAAAACACTGACCAGTACTGACCAACACTGAGGGCATCAGAGGAGCAGGAAGGCTGACGTTTCGAGCCTAGACCCTTCTTCAGAAATGGGGGAGCGGAAGGGGGTTCTGAAATAAATAGGGAGAGAGGGGGAGGCGGATAGAAGATGGATAGAGGAGAAGATAGGTGGAGAGGAGACAGACAGGTCAAAGAGGCAGGGATGGAGCCAGTAAAGGTGAGTGTAGGTGGGGAAGTAGGGAGGAGATAGGTCAGTCCAGGGAGGACAGACAGGTCAAGGGGGTGGGATGAGGTTAGTAGGTAGGAGATGGGGTGGGGCTTGAGGTGGGAGGAGGGGATAGGTGGGAGGAAGGACAGGTTAGAGAGGCGGGGACAAGCTGGGCTGGTTTTGGGATGCGGTAGGGGGAGGGGAGATTTTGAAGCTTGTGAAGTCCACATTGATACCATTGGGCTGCAGGATTCCCAAGCGAAACATGAGGTGCTGTTCCTGCAACCTTTGGGTGGCATCGTTGTGGCACTGCAGGAGGACATGTCGTCTGAAGAATGGGAGGGGGTGTTGAAATGGTTCGCGACTGGGAGGTGCAGTTGTTTAGTGCGAACCGAGCGTAGGTGTTCTGCAAAGCGGTCCCCAAGCCTCCGCTTGGTTTCCCCGATGTAGAGGAGGCCACAACGGGAACAGCGGATGCAGTATACCACGTGAGCAGATGTGCAGGTGAACATCTGCTTGATGTGGAAAGTCTTCTTGGGGCCTGCGATGGGGGTGAGGGGGGAGGTGTGGGGGCAGGTGTAGCACTTCCTGCAGTTGCAGGGAAAAGTGCCGGGTGTGGTGGGGCTGGAGGGGAGTGTGGAGCGGACAAGGGAGTCACAGAGAGAGTGGTCCCTCCGGAAAGCAGATAAGGGTGGGGAGGGAAAAATGTCTTTGGTGGTGGGGTCGGATTGCCGATGGCGCAAGTGTCGGAAGATGATGTGTTGGATCCGGAGGTTGGTGGGATGGTACGTGAGGACGACGGGTATTCTAATTTGATTGTTATTGCGGGGAGGGGGTGTGAGGGATGAGTTGCGGGAAATGCGGG